GAAACTATAGCACATGGGCCAAATCTGCTTTTGTAAATATGTATTTATTGGGATGCATTCAGATTGTTTACATGTTGTCTATGGCTGCTTTTGCACTGCAAAGGGAATATACTTAACACAAAGAATAGGGTCTCCAGGAGAGTACTTAAAGGGCAAGCAGAGGAAGCCTAGGTAGGTTGGGTGAGGGGACCTACAAGGGCCAGGAAGTTTGTAGGATTGCCATGAGTGAGAAGTGTTACAAAGGAGGGTGGACATTCTGTGGGGGTTTTGTTTTTTTTTTGACGGAGTCTGCCTCAGTTGCCCAGGCTGGAGTGCAGTGGTGCGATCTCCGCTCACTGCAAGCTCCGCCTCCCGGGTTCATGCCATTCTCTCGCCTCAGCCTCCCAAGTAGACGGGACTACAGGCCCGCCACCACGCCCGGCTAATTTTTTTTTTTTTCCCCAGTAGAGACGGAGTTTCACCGTGTTAGCCAGGATAGTCTCAATCTCCTGACCTCGTGATCCGCCTGCCTCGGCCTCCCAAAGTGCTGGGATTACAGGTGTGAGCCACCGTTCCTGGCCTACTTTTGTTTAAAAAATATGTATGTGTGTAACCACATTCAGGTAAAAAATGATTGCCAGCCTTTTGTTCCCTTTCCCATCATCTTCTGTGACAGTCATTTCCATTAATTTCCATTAAAAAAATAATTTTACTTCATATTAAGTGTCTCTAAACATTAGGATTAACTTTTGTATAGTTTTAAACTTTATAGGAATAGAATTATACGGTATATATTCTTTTGTGACAATTGATCTGTGACAAATTGACACTGTAGAGCAACAGGGAAGAGACACTTTTTTGGTAAATGGTGCTGGGTCATTTGGGTATCCATATAGGGAAAAATAATTTGCTTCACACAATAAAAAATTTCAAGTGGATTTATAGGTATGAAAAGATTAAAACTGGTATAACGGCGTTTAATAGAAATATATTGTGAGCCACATGTGATTTTAAATTTTTCTAGAAGCCAAATTTAAACAGGAAAAACAGATAAATTAATAATATTTTGTATTTAACCCAGTAATGCTCAAAGACATTTTAATTTGCAAGTAATTTAAAAATTATTAGTATATTTTATTTTGGGGGGTGAGGATACCATAGTTTTAGCAATTCAATGTGTGTTTTACACTTACATCTCAGTTTGGCCTAGTTACGTTTCGAGTGCTCCTTAGCACGTGGCCAGTGGGTACTGTGTTGGAGAGCATAGTTTTAGAGGATAATGATGGATAACATCTTATTATCTCTGGACACAAAAAGCAACCATAAAAGAAAAATCGATGAATTGTGCTACATTAAAGTTAGGACATCATATTCCTCAAAAGACATTATTAGGCTTCGCGTGGCTTTTGTAATCCTAGAACTTTGGGATGCCACAGCAGGAGGATTGCTTGAGCCCAGGAGGTTGATGCTGCAGTGAGGCATGATCACACCGCTGTACTCTGGCCTGGGTGACAGACACTATCTCAAAAACAAAAAATTATTAGGAGAGTGAAGGGCAAATTACAGAGTGGGAGAAGATATTGGTAAATCTTAGTTCTAACAGAGTTTACATAAACAACACGTAACATGTCAAGAAAAAGGTAGTTCACTCATTAGCAGGATGGACAAGAGACTTTGAACTGCTATTTCGTGAGTGATAGATGAAATAAAATCTGTCACTGTGGATTTGTCTTTTTCTTTTTGTAATTCTGTTTTTGATTTTTATATATGAGTTAACGACAGGAAATGCATTAGGTGATTTCATTGTTGTACAAACGTCATGGAGTGTACTCAGCAAGTTTAGATGGTAGCCTACTGCATGCCTGGGCTATAAGGTATAGCCTATTGCTCCTAGACTGCAAAATTGTACAGCATGTTACTGTACTGAATATTGTAGGCAGTTGTAACACAGCAGTAAGTATGTGTGTATCTAAACATAGAAAAGGTACAATAAGGATATGATATAAAAGATTACAAAATATGCCTCCTATAGGGCTCTTACATGCATGAATGGAATGGAGCTTGCAGGACTGAAAGCTGCTCTGGGTGAGTCAGTGAGTGCGTGGTGAGTGAATGTGAAGGCCTAGATTATCACTGTATCCTACTGTAAATTTTATAAACACTGTACACTTCAGCTACATTGTTTATAAAAATATTTTTCTTTAGTAATAACCATAGCTTACTATAACTTCATAAACTTTTAAATGTTTTTAAACTTTTGACTCTTTTGTAATAATACTTAGCTTACAACAGAGACACATTGTTGGCAATACAATTATGTGTGTGCGTGTGTGTGTATATATATATGTATTTCTTTTAATACAGGGTCTTGCTCACTATCTCAGCTCACTGCAACCTCACCTTCCCAGGCTCAAGTGATCCTCCCACCTCAGCCTCCCAAGTAGCTGGGACTGCATGCGTGTGCCACCATGCCCAGCTAATTTTTTCTATTTTTTTCTGTAGAGATAGGGTTTCACCATGTTGCCCAGGCTAGTCTCAAACTTCTAGACTCAAGCAATCCACCTGCCTCGACCTCCCAAAGTGCTGGGATTATAGGAGCGAGGCACTGCACCTAGCCACTATTTTCTTTATATCCATATTCTATGAGCTTTTCTGTATTTTTAAAAAATGTTAATTTATCATTTGTTTGTTTGTTTTTGAGATGGAGTTTTGCTCTTGTTGCCCAGGCTGGAGTGCAATGGCATGATCTCTGCTCACTGCAACCTCCACCTCCCAAGTTCAAGCGATTCTCCTGCCTCAGCCTCCAGAGTAGCAGGGACTACAGGCATGTGTCACCATGCCTGGCTAATTTTACGTTTGTGGTAGAGACAGGGTTTCTCCATGTTGGTCAGGCTGGCCTTGAACTTCTGACCTCAGGTGATCTGCCCATCTCAGCCTCCCAAAGTGCTAGGATTACAGGTGTGAGCCACAGTGCCTGGCCTAATTTATCGTTTTTAAACTTTTTTGTTAAAATGAAGACACAAATACACACATTAGGGTAGACCCACACAAGGTCAGGATCATCAATATCAATATCTTCCACCTTCGTATCTTGTCCCACTGGAAAGTCTTTAGGGACAATAACACATATGAAACTGTCATCTCCTAGGTTAACAGTGCCTTCTGGAATACCTCCCGAAGGACCTGCCTGAGCCGTTTTACCGTTGTCGTCGTCGTTTTTAAATAAGTAGAAGTCGTGTACTCTACAATGATAATTAAAAGTGCACAGTAAATAAATAAGTCAGTAGCATAGTTGTTTATCAAGTGTTATGTACTGTACGTAATCGTATGTGCTATACTTTTAAACGACTGGCAGCACAGTAGGTCTGTTTTCCCCAGCTTCACTAAAACACATGAGTAATGTGTTGTTTCCCCCAAGTGGCTTTTTTATTCCTTCCCCTCTTCCCCGCCCTCCCGTGTTCTCTATCTATTGTGTTACAGAATTTTCTCACATGTCTGGTATTCATTTCCTTTTGGTGAATCAAAAAAATTCTTTGGAAGCTTTAGTAAGTGGGTTCAACCTTTTGACTCTGACTTTTGCATCAGGATATTCTGGATGGCCCATTTGTTGGGAAATCCCCAGTGTTGGTATCTTTAGATCTTTCTTCTTAGACTTATCAGGTTCCTGCAGGGTATAGACCTGACTCTCTGAGGTTTGGCAGGAGAGTGCATAGAGGGTGGTGGAGGAGCTGAAATGTGTGTTCAGTGACTAGATCGACCTCTGTTTTGTACAGTTGGGCAGGGTGGCTTTTGTCTAAGGATGCTCTCCTTTTCCAGAGAGCCCCCAGTCTTCTGTTATGGTTGGGGAGTCCCATGAAGGCATGGTGTTGAGGCTTTAGCTGCATTGTAGATAGTCTTCACCCAACCTCCACCATCCTTTTTGCCTCCTCCTTCTTTACCCCTTCTTCTGTCTGCATTTAGTGCTGCCAGTTCTGAACCTTCTCCCGACATGGCTGTGGAAATGGAATTGGTTCTTAGTGTTTTTGGCTACTGGCTTGGTCTGGCTGCATTGGGCCTGCTGAGTCATTTGCTGTGCTTCCAATCTTTTATAGTTTGTTTCCTCCAAGTTTTTCTGTTTTCTTGTTTGTTTGGTTTCTGTCTTCAGTGTTAGAGGCTTTTCTTATAGCTTCAAAAATTCTGTTACTTTTTCTTTTATTTCTCCCTGGCCCGTGGGTTTGCTTTTAAAATTTATCTTTTTAATATGTCTGTATTAGTTTGTTCTCATACTGCTAATAAAGACATACTTGGGACTGGGTAATTTATAAAGGAAAGAGGTTTAATTGAATTCACAGTCCCACAAGGCTGGGGAGGCCTTACAATCATGGCAGAAAGTGAAGGGGAAGCAAGACATGTCTTACACATGGCAGCAGGCAAGAGAGAGTGTGTGCAGGGGAACTCCCCTTTATAAAACCCTCAGATCTTGTGAGACTTACTCGCTATCATGAGAAGAGCGTGGGAAAGACCTGCCCCCATGATACAGTTACCTCCCACCAGGTCCTTCCCACAACACATGGGAATTATGGGAGCTACGATTCAAGATTTGAGTGGGGACACAGCCAAACTGTATCTATCTCTTTTGTATAATTTTAGCGGAAGTGAAATAGATATGTATATTCTGTTTGCCATCTTCCTCTGAATTTGTTAGTTAACTTTATGTCAGATTAATTATGCCTGTTGATGTTTTAATGGTTCTTAGTTATTTCATGTATATTTCCTTCAACTAAAATATGGGTTTGAAGACAGGGCTTTTCCAAATTTGTTATTCTTCATTCAAGGTCCAGTACAGTATGTATGGTAAGCAGTGAAGAAGCTGACTCTAAGGTGGACAGTACAATAAAACCTTGAAAAAAACTAGTGAAATATGTATAAAACTAGTGGTTTTATATGTATTTTATATGTATACATATAAAACTAGTGGTTTTATATGTATCATATATATAAATATATTATGTGTGTATATATATGTATATCTTGTCTTTCAGATTCTCTTTGCAATGGAAAGAGGAAAGAGAAATTAGAAGTTTTTTAAAAATTGTCATTTGATTTCTTCAGAGTTATTGTGGCCTTCTGAACTGTGAGTATAATTCTCTTGCCATACTTGTGTCTTGAGATTTTTGGTTTTGTTTTTTCTTTCGCCTGTCTTAGTGTCTCTTTGTCGTACAATGGAAATAAACAAAAGGTAGTTGATTTTGCAGAGTGGGTTAGGGAAGAAATAGAAATCGTTTAGTGCCTATTATGTGTAGATACTTTATATATTTTTTTCTGAGGTAGTATAATAATGGTTAATAATAACGTGCTTAGAATAGTGTCTGTTACATTATAAACACTCTAAGTTACAATTACTAATTGAATCCTCACAATAACTTTATAAGTAAGGTTTACTGTTCTTCCCTATTTCACATTCGCATAAACCAAAATACAGAGAAGTTAGAGGTTACTAAGTTAGGGCCGGACACAGTGGCTCATGCTTGTAATCCCAGCACTCTGGGAGGCTGAGACAGGAGGATCGCTTGAGTTCAGGAGTTTGAGACCAAGTGGTTGGGTGCGGTGTTTCACGCCTGTAATCGCAGCACTTTGAGGGTCTGAGGCAGGTGGATCACTTGAGGTCAGGAGTTGGAGACCAGCCTGGCCAACATGGCGAAACCCCATCTCTGCTAAACATACAAAAATTAGCCAGACATGGTCTTGCACCCAGCTGTTGTAATCGCAGCTACTTGGGAGACTGAGGCAGGAGAATTCCTTGAACCTCCATAGGAGGAGGTGGAGGTTACAGTGAGCCGAGATTGCGCCACTGTACTCCAGAGCAAGACTCTGTCTCAAAAAAAAAAAAAATTTGAAACCAGCCTAGGTAACAACAAGACCTTGTCTCTCTGAAAAAGACATAAAAACAAAAAGCAAAAACCAAAAATTGTCAGGTGTGGTGATGCATGCCTGGATCACAGGAATTTGAAGCTGCAGTGAGCCAGGATCGCGCCACTGTACTCCAGGCCACGTGACAGAGCAAGAGTCCGTCTCAGAAAAAGAGATTACTAAATTAGTAAATGGCAAAGCTGGGATTCAGACTCATTCTGGCTTCACAGTGTTGTGCTCTTGACTGGTAGAGCAGTTCCCTCCCAAAAGTGTGTGGTTTTGCTTTTTGTAGTTTGTTACCCAATGTTAGGTGCAGTCCAAAAATACTAACTAGAAGATTCCAGAAGTAAACAATTTATAAGTTTTAAATTGTGCACCATTCTGAGTAGCCTGATGAAATCTCGTGCATCCTGATCCGTCCTGCCCTGTCCCACCTGGGATGTGAATCGTCCCTTTGTCCAGCATATTCACCACACGGTATATGCTGCGCCTGTTAGTCACTTAGTAGCCATCTCAGTTAGGTCAGCTGTCAAGGAATGACAGTGCTTGTGTTCAAGTGACCCTTAGTTTATTTCATCATGGCCCCCAAATGGAGGGGTAGTAGTGATGCTGGCGTTTTGTTATAATTGTTCTATTTTATTACATTATTCTTGTTAATCTCTTACAGTCCCTAATTTATAAATTAAACCTTATTGTATGTAGGTATGTATAGGAAAAACATAGTATATATAGCACCAAGTACAGTCCCTAGTTTCAGGCATCTACTGGGGGATCTAGGAGTGTATCCCCTGTAGGTAAGTGGGGATAGCTGTATCTTATTCTCATGGGTTCTGGATTCAGATATTGGTTTAGCTAGGTATTATATTTCCTAACTCCTTGATCTTAAATTATTTAATCTATTGAAAGCTTTTTTAAAAAAAATCTGACAAAGGGGGTTGTTACAGAATCTCCCTTATGGGGTTATTACGAAGATGCTGTGAGATATGCGTAAGGTGTTCACTCAAAGTTGTTAGCAGTGATTATTTGGTGCCATTTTTCTCATTTCAATGAGCAGAAAACCGAGCTCTAGAGAGATTATATTACTTGTAATTTGTCAGTTTGTAACTTGTAGATCTTGGTGTATGTTTCACAGTTTAGAAATCATACAATTGAGGGTAATCCTACTTTGTCTTGTTTCCAAAGATTCCTCTTTCTTCTAAGTCTGGTGGTAAATTGAGGACAGATATGTTCATAGAATATTTATAAATCTCTTTTGTGGGCATTTTGTTTTATGTTGTGACAGTAAATATCTCATAAACTTGGACTTCATGGAGTCAGAATTCATGATAATTTATAGCTGTATTGAATTTGACTTTCGCAAGTGTTTTTGGAGTACGGACCTAGGATTATTTTTTAATTTCCATATGAGTGTCAGTGCACGTCTTTCTTTGTTCTCTTTTCTCTCCCAAATCTATTTCTAGGTATTAGTGAAGGGAAGTTTTGCCATACAGTTTCCATTTCTTTGCAAGGCCTAGAAGTCTTGGTCCTGTGTCCCCCTGTCCTTCATGGGCTAAGGGAGAGGAACCTACTCTGTCCCTTGTGCTGTGTCACATGTGATTATGTCACAGTGTGAGAAGGTCACAGCCCCTCTGTTTGTGTCCTCCTATTTCCCTCCCCCTGTCCATATTGTACCTTTCTTCCTATAACAGTGCATTCTGTTTATTTGGGTGCGAGTCTGTGTGTGAAGGTAGTGTTTTTTTATTTCATCTCTGCTTAACGGGCAGTTAACTTTCACTAAATGCTGAATTAGGACTGTTTAATGCTTGTCACAAAATAAGTTCTCTTTTCTTAGTAGATCTGAGCAAAAGAAAGAATACCAAATGTAACTTTTCAGCAACATTAGCTGTAAAAATATTTCCTCTTGGTATAGCACAAGACAGTTTCATAGCAGAAATACGAAACTTATATTCTTAGTGTAATGTGCTGGAAAACGAAAGCCTAAAGAGAGTTGAGATGACAAACCAGCTCTTTGTGACCCAAGAGGCAGCTTATTGGCTCATTGGAACTTTAAGAAAAAAAGTTTTTAAAAAAAAATTTTTCTTTACAGAGAGAGTCTTGCTCCATCACCCAAGCTGCAGTGCAGTGGTGTGATCATAGCTCACTGCAGCTTCTGAACTCCTGGGCTTAAATGATTTGCCCATTTCAGTCTCCCAGGTAGCTGAGAATATAGGCACATGCTACCATGCCTGGCTAATTCAAAAAATTTTTTTGTAGAGGTGAGTCTTCTTTGTTTCCCAAGCTGTTCTCAAACTCCTGGCTTCAAGTAATTCTCCCACCTCAGCCTTCCAGAGTGCTGGGATTATAGGCATAAGCCACCGTTCCTGGCCTTACTGGAACTTTTTAGCTATAGGACAATATCTCCCCATCCTGATTTGTCTTTTTAAAATCACTTGAAAATATGTAAACCCAGGAAAATAGCCTCATAACCAGTGTTCCTGTAATTCCCCCCTTCCCCGCAAATTCTGGACAGATGATCAGGCCATATGTGTAAGTCTGACTTCCAATCCATTGAATTTCATGATGTAATGCTGAGATATAGGTCCCTTATTTCAGAGTTCCCCATCATAAGTCCCTTGGGCCATTTGAGCTCCTGCAGTACAGGTCTGGTTCTGAAGCAGCTAGCTTTGGCAGAGTTGCTTCTTGGTCCTTGCCTTGATTTTAAGTGACACATTGGAAGACAGAAGTTTGGGAAGGAGGTGTTTTAGAACCAGAATTCTAGGCAAGCAAAGGAAAGTCTGGGAGGAATTGAGTTGCTGGGATATATATGGAGATAATTTTCAGGGTTAATGTGGTATGGGAAGGTGGTGGACAGAAAGGAAGGCCTCCCTGAGCCCCTTCTGCAAAATCCCATATTTGTGAATGAAAGCATCTTTTATAGCATGTAGGCAGATGAGCACAGCTGAGATAGATTGGACTCTGAGGTTCTGGGAGTGTTGACTCAAAAAAATACTTTTTTTATTATTTATATTATTAGGTACCTCCTAATATGTAGTGGTCCCTCCATATCTGTGGGGAATGGTTCCAGGATTCCCCCAAGATACCAAAATCTGTGGAGCCTGTCTCTTACATAAAATGGTGTAATATTTGCATATAACCTATGCATGTCCTCTCATATACAGTTGCCCCTGAACAGTGCAGGGTGAGGAGTGCGCATCTCCTTTCCAGTTGAAAATTTGTGTGTAACTTTTGACTCCCCAAACTTAACTGCTAATAGTGTCACAGGATCCTTGGGGTGTCGCTTCACCAGCCAGAAATCACATTGGCCAGTGGCACCTTCTGCCTGAGTACTGCCCATGCCCACTGGACTTGTTCCACCCACTCGGCTTGGCATGCTGTGCTTGGCTCACACTACAAGCCTGGATCTCACACCTGCCAAGGGCGAGCCAGGTGTGGAGTTGTGAGGGATGTGTGGGTATGTGAGCCTGTGGTCCAGCCACCTTGCACACCCAGCTGCTGTAGCGGTGGACAGCTCCAGGCACTGGCACAGGTGCTGGTTCTGTGCAAGGCTACAGCTGGACCAGATGTCCTGCATTAAGCTTCTGCTGTGGGAACCTGCATCTGGATGAGGGGAACAAGGTGGCACCAGAAGAGTGGAGATGTCAGGAACTGCAAAGCCCCAAAGAGGGTGTCATAGCCCTGGCTTGGGGGTTCTCTTCTGCTCGTTGCTCACAACATGGCAAGCAGGAGGCCATGTTTCAGTGCTGTTTGTGTTATAGCTCTTTCAGTTCCTCCGTTCGGCAGGTCCCGAGTTCTTATCCGGTGTCCAGGAAGAATGAGGTACACGGAAAACTGGAGGTTGAGCAAGGCGGAGAGGGGCTTTACTGAGCGGCAGAACAGCTCTCAGGAGACCCGAAGTGGCTAGCTCCTTTCCACAGGCAAGTCATCCCAATGAGTGTCCAGATCTCAGCAGAGAGGAGACTCGCAGTGGGTAGCTCCTTTCCACAGGCAGGTCATTCTGGTGAGTTGAAGGGACTCAGAGTGGGTAGCTCCTTCCTGCAGCTGGTAGTCCTAACATCTCTGTGAGTCTGGCTGAGTCTGGGGCTTTTATGGGCTGAGAAGGGAGGAAGTGCCACGGGCGGGCCCGTAAAAAGCTCTGGAAGTTCTTACTCCAGGCCACGGACTCCACCCAGAACTGGTGGCCTGGCCCCCGGGCTTCAAGGCTTCAAGGCCCCCTGGCTTGAAGGT